TGGAATTTAAATAAACACTTAAATGAAAAAAAAGAAGCCCGAGCTCTGATGGCCTCATTGATGAATTCTACCAAACATTTAGAGAAAAATTAATGTCAATTTTTCACAAATTCTTCCAAAAATATAAAGGGAGAGAACAAGCACTTCCCAACTCTTCTTATGAGGACAGTTATACCAAAACCAGAAAAGACATCACAAGAAAAAAAAAATAATAATGTAGTAAAACTAAAAGGAAAAATAGACAAATCCACAATTTTAAAGATTTCAACGTCCCTGTCTGAAAAACTGATAGAAAAATTAAACAGAAAGAAGACAAAAGTATAAAATAACTCACATCACCAACTAATGGAACATAACAGACATTTACTTATTGAACACTCCCCACTAAGGGAGCAGAATACATATTCATTTCAAGTGCCCACAAAACATATCTCAAGATAGACCATATCCTGGGCCATAAAACAAACCTTAACAAATGTAAAAGAATTATAAATCATGCAAAATGTTTTATCAAACTACAGTGGAGTTGAACTAGAAATTAATAATAACAGAAACTGAACTTGAAACCAGTAACAGAAATAAAAGGAAATTTCTAAGCATTTAAAAGCTAAACACACTTTTTATAGGTTAAAGAAGAATACTCAAGGGAAGTTTTCAAAACACACTGAACTTAATGAAAATGAAAAAGCAACATCAAAATTTGTGTGACACAGCAAAGCTGCACTGAATCCAATATTTATGGCATTAAATGCCTGCATTAGAAAAGAGGAAAAGTTGCAAACCATTCACACTCATACCTCATGATCCCAGAAATAAGAGCAAAATAAACTCAAAACAAGCAGAAGGAATAAAATAATAGCAAATATCAATGAAATTAAAAAGAGAAAAACAAAAATCAATAAAACAGAGCTGTTCTTTGAAAAGGTCAATAAAATTAATAAATCTCTGGCAATAATGACAAAGTAAAGCAGATGCAAATTATCAATACCCAGAATAAAATGAGATATCCTGACAAACACTGCAGACATCAAAAGAATAATAATAATAAGGAAACATCATATTCAATGGGGGAAAACTGAGAGCTTTTCCTCTAAGGTCAGGAACAAGATAAGGATATCCACCCTTACCACTTTTATTCAACATAGTACTAGAAATCCTAGCCACAACAATCAGACAACAAAAAGAAATAGAAGACATCCAAATTGGTAAGGAAAACTTTCAGATGACATGATACTGTATATAGAAAATCCTAGAGACGCCATCAAAACACTACTAGAACTGATAAATGAATTCAGTAAAGTCAAAGGATTCAGAATCAATATATAGAAATCTGTTGTATTTCTATACACTGATAATGAAGTAGCAGAAAGAGAAAATAAGAAAACTGCACCAAAAAAAATCAAATAACTAGAAATTTAACCAAGGAGGTGAAAGACCTATACTATAAAAACTATAAAACACTGATAAAAGAAATTGAAGATGACACAAAGAAATGGAAAGACATGCCATGCTCATGGATAAGAAGAACCAATATTGTTAAAATGTCCATACCACCCGAAATAATCTACAGATTTAATGCAATTTCTATCAAAATACCAAAAGCATTTTTCACAGAACTAGAATAAATAATACTAAAATTTCTGTGGAACCACAAAAGACCCCAAATAGCAAAAGAAATCTTGAAAAAGAAGAACAAAGCTAGAGTATCACAATTCCAGATTTCAAGATATACTACAAAGCTGTAGTAATCCAAACAGTATGGTACTGGCACAAAAACAGACACATAGATCAACAGAACAGAGAGTCCAGAAATAAACCCACGATTATATGGTCAACTAATCTATGACAAAGGAGGCAAGAATATACAATGGGGAGTAGAAAGTCCCTTCAACAAATGGTAATGGTAAAACTGGACACCTACATTCAAAAGAATGAAACTGAACCACTTTCTTTCTTTCACCACACACAAAAATAAACTCAAAATGGATTAAAAAAAACTAAATGTGAGACCTGAAACCATGAAATTCCTAGAAGAGAACATAGGCAGTAATTTCTTTGACACTGGCTGTAGAAATATTTTTCTAGATATATTTCCTCAGACAAGGAAAACAAAAGCAAAATTAAACTATTGAGACTACATCAAAATAAAAAGCTTTTGCACAGCAAAGGAAACAAAACAAAAAGACAACCTACTGAATGGGAGAGGATATTTGCTAAGGGGTTAATATCCAAACTATATAAATATTTGAGGGGTTAATATTCAAAATATATAAAGAACTTATAAAACCCAATACCAAAAAACAAATAATGCAATTTAAAAATGGACAGAGGACCTGAATAAACATTTTTCCAAAAAAGATACAGAGATGGGCAAGAGACACATGAAAAGATGCTCAGCATCACTCATCATCAGGGAAATGTAAATCAAAACCACAATGAGATATCACCTCACACCTGTCAGAATGGCTAAAATCAAACACAAGAAATAACAAGTTTTGGGGCATTTGGGTGGCTCAGTAAGTTAAGCGTCTGCCTTCGGATGGGGTCATGGTTCCGGGTCCTGAGAGTCCGGCGTCAGGCTCCCTGCTCACCGGGGGGGTCTACTTCTCCCTCTCCCTCTGCCTGCCGCTCCCCCTGCTCGTGCTCTCTCTCTGCCAATTAAATAAATAAAATCTTTTAAAAAAAAAAAAGAAAAGAAATAACAGGTTTTGACAAGTATGTGAAGAAAAAGGAACACTTGTGCACTGTTGGTGGAAATGCAAACTGGTACAGCCACTGTGGAAAACAGTATGGAAGTTCCTCAAAAAATTAAAAAGAGAATTACAATATGATCCAGTAATCCTACTACTGGGTATTTATCCAAAGAAAACAAAAACACTAATTCAAAAAGATACATGTAGCCCTATGATTACTGCTGAATAGACAAGATATGGAAGCAACCTGTGTCCATCAAGAGATGAATGGATAAAGATATAAATATATGTATATAGAGATACAGATATAGATATGTGTTTATACACAATGGAATATTATTCAACCATAAAAAAGAATGAGATCTTGACATTTGCAATAACATGGATGGACCTAGAGGATATAATGCTAAGTGAAATGAGTCAGAGAAAAACAAATACCATATGATTTCACTTATATGTGGAGTTTAAAAAACAAAATAAACAAGAAGACAAATGAAAAAAACCAGACTCTTAAATACAGAGAAAAACAAGTAGTTGTCAGTGGTGAGGTAGGTGGGAGGATGGGTGAAAGAGATAAAGGAGATTCAGAGTTCACTTCTTCTGATGAGCAGTGAATGAGGTATATAATTGTTGAATCATTATATTGTACACCTGAAACTACTATAACAATGTATGTTAATTATACGTCAATACAAAAAAAGAAGGGAATACTATTAACTCTACACACATAAATTTGACAACTTAGATAAAATGAACTAATTCCTTAAAAAACTACCACAACTCACCAGATATGAAATAGATCATTTGCATAGCCCTACAAATATTAAGGTGTTTGAACTCATGATGTAAAAATCCGAAAAAAGAAATCTGTACACCCAGATAGTTTTACTGGAAAATTCTACCAAACATTTAAAGAATTAACACTAATTTTACACCATCTCTCCCAGAAAACAGAAGAGGAAGGATCAATTTTTTTAAATTATAGTTGACCTTTGAACAACACAGGGGGTAGGGGCACTGACACCCCCACCACCACTATGCAGCTAAAAATCTGCATATAACTTTTGGCTCCCCAAAATCTTAACTAGTATTGACCAGAAGCCTTACTGATAACGTAAACAGTTAACACATATTACGTATGTTATGTGTATTATAGGCTGTATTCTTTCAATAAAGTAAACTAGAAAAAAGAAAGTGTTATTAAGAACATAAGGAACAGGAAATATATTTACAATATTATACTATATTTATCAACAAAAATTCATGTATAAATGGTCCCACACAGTTCAAATCCCTGTAGTGCAAGGGTCAACTGCAGTATTACTCTGACACCAAAATCAGACAAAGATAGTACATAGAAAGAAAACTAACACCAGTAACGCTCATGAATATAGACAAAGAAATCTTGAACAAACATTAGCAAAATAAATCCAGGATTATATAAAAGGAATTGTATACCCAGTGCAATTTGTTCTGGGTATGTAAAAAGCTGGTTCAACATCTAGAAATTAATCAGTATAATCCACCATATCAACATGATAAAAAAAAATCACATGATCATAAAAGTTGACACAGAACAGCATTTACTCTTCTTCTCTTCCCTTCTAGCTAAAACCCGCCCATTGGTGTGACCTTTCACAAGAAATGTATTTACTTGTTCCCATCATTGTTTACCAGGGTCCTGGGTCTTGGTCAAGACTCTTAGTCCACATACAGAGGTTTATCTTAAATCCAAAACCTGTCAGGCTCCTTATGCAAATTGGTTTCACTTTCTCTGAATAACCAGTTCAGCATACCAAGAAGTGAGGAGTTTATGTTAAACTACCAGATAAAACTGTCTAGTCACATCCTAATTTCTCAACAATGTGACACACGTTTGGAAAATCAAAAGGATTATTCAAGTTTAGAGACACAGATAATCATATCTGCATTTGAAAAACAACATAAAAGAAACAATTTTGTAAACTCTATTAGAAATTCTGAACTTGGACATTTAAAAGACCAAATTTAAAATTCAACAGATATGCTAAGAGGGAGCTTCATGATTGAGAGGAGAAAAAAATGTTTGCATAATTTCAGCTTTTGTGCACTTTCACTGAGCTAACTCTATTCAGATTATACTTAGGAAAACCTCCCTCAAGGAAATGGACAATCTGAGTTTCCAGGCACTGGGTAAAATAATAGCCTAATTATTAAAAAAAAAAAAAAAAAAGCTCAGGACCCAACCTCTTGGTTAACCAGTGACCTGTAGAATGTTGACCTTTCCACAGCGAAAGCTGTCACCAGAATCCCTCCTTTCTCAATACATTCATTTGTGGTGAAGAGAACACCAATACAGGCAGCATGAGTACTATAGGGAAAGTAAGTACAGTCTTTTCCTTTATATTGTGTCATGATTGTGTCCACTTCTGTACTTATTTACCTACACCTCATCACCCAAATGGTATCTATATTCCTAAAACTGGGAGATGATCTTGATCTCGGTACCTCTCCTTCTCCTTTCCCTTTTATTTTATGCCTTTTAAGCACTTGCCTTTCTTCATTTTTTTCATTTCTTCAGTAAGCAATATAGCAAGCCCTATATCAAACTTTCCAGAGTCAAAGACATCCCTTCTTTCCATGATCTCACAGAGAGAGTAATTATAAAAGAATCATTATAAAAGAGTGTGCAAGGGTAGAAAAAGAGAGAAGGACAAAGTGCTCCTAACCTAGCTTTGCTTCCCAGAGAAGGTGACACCTAAGAGGAAACTTACAGAAGAATTCGCCAGGTACAGGAGAAGACAGTTGTGCAGGCAGATAAAACATGAGGAGATACATAAAAGCAAGAAATATATCCCATATAAGAATTTCCAGAATATTTTCTTGTGCTTGGAGGGTAAAATCTAAGACAGGAAATGACCAGAAGTGAGGAAGGAAGAGAGATAAAGTAAGGCTACTTCCCAGGTTTCTTTCTTGGGTAAATGAATAGGTTACATGGCCACTCATTGAAACCGAGAATGCAGAGGGAGGAATAGGTTGTATGTTGTGTCTACCACTGGTTGGGGGAGGGGAAGAGGAAGAGGAAAGGGGGACAGGAGGAAGGAAAAAGAAATAATGTGTTCATGTTTTGTTGTTGTTGCTGTTGTTTTTTAAAGATTTCTTTCTTTCTTTGTGGGGGGGAGCGGAGGGAGAGGGAGAATCTCAAGGGGACTCTGCACTGAGCGGGGAGCCTGACGCAGGGCTTGATCCCAGGACCCTGAGATCATGACCTGAGCTGAAATCAAGAGTCGGACGCTCAACCAAGGGAGCCGCCCAGGCATCCCTAATGTGTTCATGTTTACATGTTGAGTATGAGGTATCTACAGGACATTCAAATAGGAGATGAATAAGTAAGTCTAAAGCTTAGGGACAAGTTTATCCATAGATACAGATTGTGAAAGTCATCTCCAAAAGGGTAGTGGTGAATCTATAAAAAGAAAGGTAGAACAACATAGGAAGATAGTAAGTACAGGAGTGGGCTGAAATGAGAACCCCTAAATACTACCTGGCCACCAACAACTTTTCCAACCTTAGTCTGCCAGTGACCACCACCATTTGATGAATTACCACAACTATAATGGTCTCTATTCCCTGCTCCATAACTTACCCCTCTACCCTAAAACTGATTATCTCCCATACCTAGGAACACATACAACTTCCACAATACAAATGCCATCCTCATGCTGAAACAGCCACTGGACAACTTCATTCATGATAATACCAAAAATATTGGTATTATCTACCCCCTTGTTGTATAGCATTATATAATTATAGTTAGTATTGTAAAAATAACTTGAATACAGAAACTGATAGCACAAGAAAAGTTGAATTGGTATTTAGAAGCTATATACACCATATATTTAAGCAATGATTTTTTTTTTTTCTGGCTTGAGTGTAGAACTGAACTAAACCTTCTAATAATCATTAATATAGGAATTCTCCATCTCTTCGGCCTAAGGAGTTTCCTTTTCTGCCCCCATATTCTATTTCCCAGGTTATTAGGTGCAGAGCAGCCATACTCTGGAAGCCTGGTGTACAATTTTCCATCGAGGAGGTAGAAGTGGCCCCACCAAAGGCAAAGGAAGTTCGCATAAAGGTAAAAAAAAAATTCATATTTCCAGACCAAAAATCAAACCTGTTCACTGTAAGTTATACTTTTCACAATGCTCAACTCAGAAAGAAAATTAGATACTCTGCTATTTCTTTTTCATTTCCATCAGTCTTTTAATCCAGCCACACAAAAGATTAGGGAGATACAGCATAGGCTAAACGCCCAAAGGATACTTATTTACAGCTGTAATACTATTACTAATTAAAAAAAGAAGTTTCTACCCATAAACCATATTTTATGATGAATACAACTATAAAGCCCCCCCTGTGAAATAAATTAAGGCTTCAATTATAATAGGAGACATCCCTTGCTTTTCTGTGTTCCAATTCTTTCATTTCTATCATGGGTCTTTCTTCCCCACACTCCTACCCACAAGCTTCAATGAAGGACGAGACCTCTGATTTACACTACGGTTTTACAGCTGTCTTTTCTGAACCCATGTAAGTCTTAAATCATCATTTTGATTCTGAAATTAGCTAATGAAAACCACTGAATTGCTTTAAACAAATTATTATTGGCCCCTATCTACAATTAAATAAATAAATGCATTAATATTAATGCAGTGTATCAAACTCGTAAAAAGGTTTAAAAGATTAACAATTCCTCTCTTCCCCTATGATCCTCTGCCCTGTTTCTTAAATTCCACATATCAGTGATATCATATGATAACTGTCTCTCTGATTGACTTATTTCACTTAGCGTAATACCCTCTAGTTCCATCCCTGTGATTGCAAATGGCAAGATTTCATTTTTTGATGGCTGCATAATATTCCATTATATATATATGTGTGTGTGTATATATATATATATATACTGCATCTTCTTTATCCATACATTTGTCAATGGACATCCAGGCTCTTTCCATAGTCTGGTTATTGTGGACCTTCCTGCTATAAACATTGGGGTGCACGTGCCCCTTTGGATCACTGCATTTCTATCTTTGGGATAAATACCCAGTAGTGCAATTGCTGGATTGTATGGTAGCTCTATTTTCAACTTCTTGAGGAACCTCCATACCTCCATTTCCAGAGTGGCTGCACCAGCCTGCATTCCCACCAATAGTGTAAGAGGGTTCCCCTTTTTCTGCATCTTCGCCAACATCTGTTGTTTCCTGGCTTGTTCATTTTAGCCATTCTGACTGGTGTGAGGTAGTATCTCATTGTGGTTTTGATTTTTATTTCCCTGATTTTGATTTGGAGGGGAGGGGGAGTGGGAGGATGGGGTAACTGGGTGATGGACATTGGGAAGGATATGTGTAGTAATGAGCACTGGGTATTATGTAAGATTGATGAATCACAGACCTGTACCCCTAAAACAAATAATACATTATGTTAATTAATTGAATTTAAATAAAAAAAATAAAAAGGATTAACAGTTCTGAAACACCTTTATTTAAGACAGAGAAAACCATGTTACCCTTTGCCTTCCATACAGATTGTGGCCACGGGGCTCTGTGGTTCAGAGATGAAAATGTTGGAGAATGAAACCTCTCACTACCATTATCCTATCATTATGGGCCATGAAGCAGCTGGAATAGTTGAGAGTGTGGGAGAAGGAGTGAGCACAGTGAAAACAGGTATGAATTAGCACCTGGAGGTAGGAAATTGCAGCAACTTGGAATCCACATCAGGAAGATGTGGTATATATACACAATGGAATATTATGCAGCCATCAAAAGGAATGAGATCTTGCCATTTGCAATGACGTGGATGGAACTGGAGGGTATTATGCTGAGCAAAATAAGTCAATCAGAGAAAGACATGTATCATATGATCTCACTGATATGAGGAATTCTTAATCTCAGGAAACAAACTGAGGGTTGCTGGAGTGGTGGGGGTGAGAGGGATGGGGTGGCTGGGTGATAGACATTGGGGAGGGTATGTGCTATGGTGAGCGCCGTGAATTGTGCAAGACTGTTCAATCACAGACCTGTACCTCTGAAAAAAATAATACATTATATGTTAAAAAAAAAAAAAGAAGAAGATAGCAGGAGAGGAAGAATGAAGGGGGGGAAGTCGGAGGGGGAGAAGAACCATGAAAGACGATGGACTCTGAAAAACAAACTGAGGGTTCTAGAGGGGAGGGGGGTGGGGGGATGGGTTAGCCTGGTGATGGGTATTAAAGAGGGCACGTACTGCATGGAGCACTGGGTGTTATATGCAAACAATGAATCATGGAACACTACATCAAAAACTAATGATGTAATGTATGGTGATTAACATAACATAATATAAATAAATAAATAATAACTAAATAAATAAATAAAACCCAAAAAAAGCATCTCTTAAATGTTAAGATCAAATGAAACAAAAGGTGAAAATTTGCCCATTTATTAGGAAAGGAGGGATAGTTATTTATAAGTTACACAAAAATACTAAATGTATCTTTGCATTCCTATTTTGATATTAATAAAAACAAGAAATAGAATGCACTAAAACTGAACCTGAAAGTACAAATGAGACAAAAATTTATAAAAAAGGAAACTGAGGAAAACTGTTGAAAATTATTAAAATGAAGCATATAATAAACAGCTGAACACACTAGTGGAACCAAATAGGGAAGGAGTCCAGAACTAGATCAAATATATAGAGAAATTTAACACAGGGTTTGGTTTGGCTTTCAGATTTGAGGGGGAGAATGTGGATTACTCAGTAAATGATGCTGAAACAACTGGATAGTCATCTGGGGAAAAAGTTGAGTTGCTATTACATTCTTTATGCCAAGGAAATATGCCATATGAATCCAAGAATTAAATGTGAAAAGTGAAACCACAGAAATGCTATAAAATACCATGAGAGAGGGGCACCTGGGTGGCTCAGTTGGTGAAGTATCTGCCTTCAGCTCAGGTCATGATCTCAGGGTCCTGGGATGGAGCCCTGCCCTCCACCCCCACCCCCCACCCACCCACCCCCAGTCGGGTTCTCTGCTCAGCGGGGAGCCTGCTTCTCCTTCCTCTCCCTCTCCCTCTGTGCTCTCTCTCTCAAATAAATAAATGGAGTCTTTAAAAAAACAAGAAAAAAATACCATGAGAAAACATTGTATTACCTCAGGGAAAGGAAGGAAATTTTAATCAACACAAAAATCCGGAAGATATGAAATAATACACAGATTAAGTTAACACCATAAAAAGTTTTTAAAATTTTGTTTATAAAAAATACCTCCCAAAATCAACAACAAATATGACAATGGGTAAACTCCCCTAATATATAAAGAATTCTTTGAAAGCAATTTAATAAAAACAGCCCAGTAGAAAAATGGTCAAAGGAAATATACATTTCCTTTGGAGAAAATATATACACGTGAAAAGATGCCTAACCTCAAACATACTGAATAAAATTTTAAAATACAATGGGCACTGGGTATTATATAAGACTGATGAATCATAGGCCTGTACCTCTGAAACCAATAATACATGTTAATTAATTGAATTTAAATAAAAAATGTTTAAAAATAAAATACAATGGGAAAACACTGTTTAACAGAAAAGCAAAGATTTCAAAGTTTGATAATATATAGGGCTGACAGAGTGGAGGCAAATAGCTACCTCAAACCTTATTATATGGAAAGTAAAGTTGTACAACTCTGAATCTGGCAATATATAACATCATTTAAATGCATATATTTTAGATCCAATACTCCCAATTCTAGAAAGTTATTCCATAGATCTATACTCATATATTAGCTTTCTATTGCTGATATATAAAAAAAAAAAACACAAATGTAGCAGCTTAAAGCAAAACAACTTTATTATCTCACAGTTTCTGTGGGTCCAAAGTCTGGGTGTGGTTGATGGAGTTCTCTGCTTAGGGTTTCACAAGGCTGAAATCAAGGTGTTGATCAGCTGGGTGATGATCAGATGAGAATCTGGAGATTCTGGAGAAAAATCCACTTCCAAGCTCATTCAAGTTGTTGTCGGTATCCAATTCCTTGAGGTTGTACAACTGAGGTCCTTAACCCTCAGCTGACCCGCTGTCAGTTAGGGCCACCATCAGCTGCTTGAAGCTGCTCACATTCCTTCTCATGTGGCCCTTTTGCCCACTTTCAGTCTCAAGGCAGCACTGGCATATCAAATCCTTCTCGTGCTTGCAATCACTTTGTTTTCTTGTGCTTTCTCCTCTTGTCTCCTTTCAAGGGCCTATGTGATTACTTTGTTCTACCTAAATAATCCAGAATAATATCCCTACTTTCATGTCAAATGCTCAATAAACTTAATTACATCTGCAAATTCCCCTTTTCCCTGTAACATATTCACTGGCATGGTAACACATTCAGTTTCTGGGGATTAGAATGGGACATCTTGGGGGGGGACATTTTTAAAATTCTGCCTACCATAGCTCACATGTGCCCAAAAAATTCATTCCATTGTTATTTTTCATGACTGCGGGGCGGGGGCAACTATTAAACACAAATATTAAACAAAAATCACTAAAATGAGAAATCTCCAAGATCTATTGTTAAGTAAAAAAGTAAGACCTACAAAGAAAGTAAACAGTATGTTAGCCTTTATATTTTGAAATGGGTTATACCTCTAAAAGATACCACTGATAAGAACGTAAACACTTTTGTGTAAGTTTAAATGTTTTACCATATGTATGTGTACTTTTTTAAAAACTAAAAAATTTAAAAAGCCCAAATACTCTAAGGGTTTTTAACTAAAAACATGAAACAGGGGTGCCTGGGTGGCTCAGTCGGTTAAGTGTCTGCCTTCGGCTCAGGTCATGATCTCAGGATCCTGGGATGGAGCCCCACATCGGGGCTCTTTGCTCAGTGGGGAGTCTGCTTCTCTCTCCCTTTGCCTGCCACCCCCCTACCCCAGCTTATGCAGGCTCTCTCTCTCCCTCTGAGAGAGAATAAATAAAATCTTTAAAAAATATATATGAAACGGGCGCCTGGGTGGCTCAGTCGTTAAGCGTCTGCCTTCGGCTCAGGTCATGATCCCAGGGTCCTGGGATCGAGTCCCGCATCGGGCTCCCTGCTCGGCGGGAAGCCTGCTCTCCCTCTTCCACTCCACCTGCTTGTGTTCCTGCTCTCGCTGTCTCTCTCTGTCAAATAAATAAAATCTTTAAAAAAAAAAAAAATATATATATATATGAAACAAATTTCTCTACAATAATAGACAATGGGTCAGTGAGTAAGTCCATCACAAGCAAGTTATTCTAATCTTTTTCTTATACTTTGCACATTACTAGAGAAACCTGCCTGCCTTTGATCTCATTGCCAAGAAGAAAGGATTGATATAAAACGGAGAGCAAACAGACACTCTTTGCTCCCTGATAAAGAAGCTTATTCTACGAGCATATGGTATCCATACTATTTTACATCCAATCCCTCACAGCAGAAGTTGTGTGGAAAACATAGAATGAGACTTGGCTCAATGGCTATATAACAAAATCATGTGGCTTCAAGAGGAATTTACAGGAAGGCAAGCTCCTTGAGATTCAGTTGCTGAGCCCAGGGCTAGACACAGATGCTGAAGACATCCCCTCTTTTCATAAGTATTTGATACTTTCCACAAAATCAAGCACCATTAAGTGTGGAAATAATTCTCAGTTATCATATTTTCTTGGGTGTCTTGTTGAAGTCCTGAAAGCCAGCTATCTCTTTACTTTGAAAAATAATAACCTAATAACGTTTTTGCTCTTTAGGAGATAAAGTTATCACACTCTTTCTACCGCAGTGTGGAGAATGTGCCTCTTGCCTTAATCCTGGGGACAATCTTTGTATACAAATCAAGTAAGGTTTTACTAATATTTTCTTTTTGAAAAATTCAATTTCCTTAGAAGGAATCTAAGTTTTCTAATTCAAAATAAAAATTTGGGGTTTTTTTGTCTATAACAGACAGTCGAAATCCAGCCTGATGTCTGATGGAACCAGTAGGTTTACCTGCAAGGGAAAACCAGTGTACCACTTTGCAAATACAAGCACCTTCTCTGAATACACAGTGATAAAAGAAATCTCTGTTGCCAAGATTGATGCAGTTGCACCTCTGGAGAAAGTATGCCTAGTTAGCTGTGGTTTTTCCACTGGGTATGGTGCTGCAATCAATACTGCCAAGGTGAGGAGCATTTAATACCCAGTATGACTGGAAATCTTGGTCAATGGAGATGAAAAGCCTCAAGCATCTGGGCATGTCTGATCATACAACCTGAGGAAGAATCACAAACCTGCCTCTAAACAACCCTGAGTTCTTTACTGTCTAGTCATCCCATGCCCCCTTCAATATCTTTCCCATTCCTTTTTGGTCAGCAGTAAGTAGCAAATCAAGTCTGGATGCCAGTCACAACTGGAGGTATCAGGAATTCCTGGATGTTAAACATAACACAGTTGGCAAAATTACTGTGTTCTTCCACATGCCAGTTCATTCTCTTTTTTTTTATTCAACAAACATTTATGGAGCCATTCACTGCTCCAGGAGCTGACACTCAGCTGCTAACAAAGCTCATCGAGCTGCTATTCTGTTGTATAATGTATCAGGTGGTAATCAAGTGCTCATAAAAATAAAAGGATAGTAAAAAGACCAGGTGATGGAGGAGATGTTGCTATCTAAGACAAATTGGTCAGGTAATCCCACTCTGAGTGAGTGAGTTACTGTTAAACTATTGTTTCTGAGGCATCCTCCAGCTACCTTCTTTAAAATCTGTTGAATTGCAGTACTTTGTTTTCCCCCAAAGTCCGTTAATCCCAATCCTATATAGAGAAATAGGACAGAAGGGGCTCAATTTGAATTAGTCTCATTTTGAACCCCCCCCCCAAAATAAGCCTTTGCCTTCCTACAGGATTAACCTTGTAAGTGATGCAAAGCTTTCAAAGGAAAAGAGAAAGTAAGGGCTGCAGGAAGATGAGGGTGGTTTTTAAAAACTCAAAAATAACTGGAATCAAATAAATACTATGGCAATAAGTCTTAAGATTTGATGAAATTTCATTAAACTGCTTCTACCTAACGCTAATTCCCAGAACTTAAAACTGTATTTACAGGTAGTTTTTTGCTCCTCTAGCAAAAAGTATTCCACATCTAGAAATACCCTCAGAAACCAAAACTCTCTAGTTACAATGAGTTTTATCTGAAAATGTCCTTTGCTTATACCTCATAAAAGGTATATACAGACTTGGGTCTTTCCAACTGAGTAAAGGCACATGTTTCCCTTTGCTTTTGTTTTCTGCCTTCGTGTGCTCAGGTGACCCCAGGCTCTACCTGTGCGGTGTTTGGCCTTGGAGGGGTCGGCCTGTCTGTGATCATAGGCTGTAAAGCAGCGGGAGCAGCCAGGATCATTGGGGTGGACATCAACAAAGACAAATTTGAGAAGGCAAAAGAAGTTGGTGCCACTGAGTGCATCAACCCACAGGACTTCAAGAAACCCATCCAAGAAGTTTTATTTGATATGACAGGTGCTGGTGTGGACTTTTGCTTTGAGGTCATCGGAAATCCAGAAACTGTGGTATGTGATTTTTCCAGAGGGAAAATAACCAATGCTTCTGTCAGTCATAAGTTTAGATTTTAATTGGATGAAAATTCTAAAATTCCCCCCGCTTTTCCTCTAAATTATTTAATCTTCCTTGTGCCCCATGACATCCCAGCTGGTATCCTCTGTCCACTCCTACAAATCTATTCACCATTCCAAACACTGAACTCCCATACTGAGATTTCTTCTCCCTCTGTTCCATCATGCCATTCCTTCAAATAAGAAGACAACCTCCAACAGACAGTACAGAAAAGCTTTGTAAAGAATTCTCACTGAATTATTTCATAAGCAACAACCTGGTAACTATAAATTCCAAGCCAGAAGATTTAAGCAAGATAAGGATAGTATTGGATTAACAACCGTATAAAAGAATGAGCTTTACACTTTGAGCAGTCTTTCACAGTAGACCTGAGTAAGCTTCCAAAGAAAATATTAACCAGTTTGATTGGATGGATTAACCTCAAAGATGAAGCAAGCAGTAGTTGTTTTTCCAGCTGAACATGGTTATATAAGAGAATATAAATGGAGAGGGAGTTATTTCACAATCTGAGACTTGCTTTCTTTGGGGATTTGTAGAAATAATGTACTATTGGATTGCATGGCTCTATCTCTAGTTAGCTATATGAAAACCCAATAACTGTCTCTTTTAACCTGAGTGCTTTCCTCAGCTTACAAAATGTTTTCATTCCTCACTACAACATGAACTCCCTCGTGTGTAAAAAGGTATAACCAAACCTTTCTCGCAATCTTTCCCACAGACAGTCTTGCTCTGAGAAATAGCCTTTGAAAATAACTAATGGGAACATGTCTGCTTATCACTGTTAATACAAGATGTGATACAACTATAAAGCTGTACTCCTCGATGTCTAAAAGAAAAAGTCAATTCTAACCACCCATGTCAGTAATGGCTCTCATAAAAATTATTACTATTGTTGTTGTTGTTATTACCACCATGGCTGTGTTTAGTATTTTCATTTTTTAATTTCCATTTATTGAGTCCTAAAGTGCCAGGTATTATACTAGGCAGCATGCAATGTCTTGTTTATGTTTCAGCTAATCCTTGTAAAGATAAATGTTATTTCAAATGAGGTCAGGGAGCATCAGAAAAGATCGCAGACCATTTAGCAGCTAATCTGAGATTAGGTCCAACTCTTAAGGACATCTTTTAACCCTTGCATTTTCTTGCATTGCTTTACAACAGGAAGCTGCCCTGGCCTCCTGCAATGAGAGCCACGGGGTCTGTGTGATTGTTGGGCTCTTGGCAGGTGTCCAACTTAACATCAGTGGCTGGCTGTTCCTCTCGGGACGTTCTTTGAAGGGAACTGTTTTTGGAGGTATGGATGAAGCAGGGAAAAGTGGAAATGCATGAGGTTTTAGAGGTGGTAAATAGAGAAATGTGTCATAAATGCTTAAGAAGGAACATCAAACAAGAACTTTAGATTACAGTTGTTGTTTCAACACATAAATATCCAAGATAAGGAGATGGATATTAGATGTATACAGTTACTTATTTTTAAATTTTATTTTATTTAAATTTACAGTTACTTCTTGGTAAGCTTTTTATTGATTCGTAAAGAAACCAGTGTCCAAAGCTTAATGCAAATTATAAGTTGAAAAGAAAAGGCAATACTGTCATCAATAACTATACTTCAATTGAGTTATATATCTGCCAAGTGGATTCTTTGAAGAATATATTGAATCACTGTTCAACTAATGTAAGTCTTATCTGAGACAACTGAGTTTTCATTATATCAACTCAAAGATATGAATCATAATGGATTCATGAGTGAAAAGAAATACTACTGATAAAAAGCAAATGAGAATTATTTCCAGAAAAAATTTTTTTCATAGAATCCTTTGATTTTCCATTTTTTAAACCTGTCTTAGAACTTGCATTTTAATAGACTTTAGAAGAGTGGTTTATTGAGAAAGTTAAGAAACTAGAAAACTAAACAAATCTGCTTAGGATTCTGGGCTCATAAGCAAGTAATCTACTATTTAAGAAGAAATGTATTTATCCAGAGATTTTGGACAATCTGAATTTTGGGGCAAAAGAGATAAGGATTAGGAACTATATGAATTAATTTACTAGTGAGCTATCTGTGGTCTCCAAATTAGCTATAGCAGTGTATTGTTACAGACACTAGGAATCTTACCCAATTCATTTATGAAGAGTAGATAAATGGCAGGGCCAGCAAAAACAGACAAATACATAAATAATCCAGTTTAAACTATAATTTTCAGTTCTTCCATTTGGGATAATTGGATACAACCACCGCTTTTTCCCTCTATTATACATGATAATTATTGATTCCAAACACACATACTCAGCTAACTCTTGCAAAATAAGGTCACAAATATTTTAAATAATTCTCATAAACTATTTCACTGGCCACTTAAGCATTCATATAACAATTATTATATGAATCCTACCTTCCACAGACAGTATAATCCTCTGGGTCAAGAGTTTTCAAATAATGACAATATTTAAGAAAGGCAGGATACAAGATGGCAGTATAGGAAAATCCTAAACTCACCTCCTCCCACAGACACACCAAATCTATAGCCACACATGCATCACTTCCCTCTGAAAAAGATCTAAAAACTGAAAACCGATGAAATGCTCTATACAACAAAGGATAAAAGGATCATATTCCCATGGGGAGAAGAGGCAGAGACATGGTCTTACAAAACCCCACCCCTGGTGCAGTGATACACAATAAGGATGATTCTCAGCAGACAGGCATTTGTCCCTGAAGAGCAAAGGGCTGGTGCCCTACAGCAGGCACCCTGGCCCCTGGGATTTGCACAAGGATGAGATAAGCCCCCAGAATGTCTGGCTTGGAAAACCAACCAGAGCTAACATTAGGCGGGAGTTGCTAAGTGCTATAGGAAACTCAAGATTCCCCTCTTAGAAGGCTCATGTATGATCTTGCTCACCCCAAGACCCAGTGAAAAGTCAACAGTTTGAAAAGTGCCTAAACTATATGTGAGGGAGATTCATTTGCTAATCTGGGGTCATCAGCAGGAAGGGCAGAGGCCAGTTGAGAAGCTTCCCAATGATGGAGGCACTGGCCGATGCCATTGTTGTACTCTCCACAAAACTGCTGGCATAGGTGAGCAAGCTTGGATACGGCACACTCCCATGGCACTTACTGAGGCCAGAGGGCACAAGTGATTGTAGTGCTTCCCTGTTCCTTTGCTGGGGCAGGAAATCATGAATGGAGTTCTTCTGGTACCTAGCTAAAGTCTGTGAGCATGGGTGGTTGCGACACTCCCCTGACCCTGACTGAGGCTGGCAAGCACAAGCAGTCCAGCATTTTCCTGCTTCCAGCCTAAAGGCAGCATGCACAGAGACAAGGCACTCTCCTGCTGGCATTGCTGAGGGCCACAGATACATGGAATCAAGACATTTTCCCACTGCTTTTCTGAAACCAGGGAGCATGCCCCGCCCCTTGCACTCCACCTGGCTAAAACCAGCAGGCACAAACAATCAAAACAAGGGATTCTCCTTGATCACCTAGTCTTTGTGGACAAAAGGGATAGCATTCCAGAGCTCTACAACAATGTAACAATCAGAAATACAGTTCTTGGCAAACTACCACCCCTAGGGCACTGCAAAGACAATAGACTGAAACACAACCCCAGCCCTCCTGTGAAAAAGTCTATTTATTTACTCTAGCCTGAGGGATAGGCTTCAGGTTTCTCTTACATCTAGAGGCTAAGGAGGCACTCTCAGGAAATATAAGCAGGAAAGATATCATCCTTCTGTACCTCCTTGGCATTGATACAGCTCAAAAAGATTTCCCAGAAAGGAGCTTATACACTCATCTAAAGCCCTGATTCTTGTAACTGTCACCTACAGTACACCTCTGGACCTCTTGGGCTGGAGGCTACAGAGATTATAATTGCAGCTCCACTCATCTATAGATATTTACATACTTTAAAATGTGTTGCCTGAGATTCTGGCTTCCAATCAGCCTGAAATTAGTGCTAATGAAATTCCTTCTGTTGGGTCACTGACAGGCTTGGTACACCCTCAACAATGGGGGCATAACAAGAATAAATGAACTGTGTATATTTTGCATTTAATTCCATTTGAAATTCTTCTATAAATAACTTGGACTATCAAAAAAAAAAAGAATAAATCAAGTAGCTTAGACAACCACAATGGTCTGAGAAATAAAAAAGAGCTAGGGAAAGGTTGAACAAGAAGGATCATCACCTAAGCAAGGCCATTCCTTCAACAATGAGAGAGGCAGCTCTTTCACCTAATATACAGGAACATAGAGAGTCAAGAAAAAGGAGAACACAGAAATATGTTCCAATCAAAAGAGTAAGACCAAACCTCAGAAAAAGACCCTAATAAGGATAAGTAATCTACCTAATGAAGAATCAAAGAAATGGTCAAGAAGATGCTCACCAAACTCAACAGAAGAATGGCTAAATGCCATGAGAACTTCAACAAAAAGATAAGAAACCTAAATACCAAACAGAAGTCACGTAAGTACCAAACGTAGCTTAAGAATACAATAACTGAATTGAAAAATAAACTGGAGGGGTTCAACAGCAGACAGGATGAGGTAGAAGAATGAATCAGTGAGCTGAAAGATAAAGCAATGTAAGTCATCCAGACAGAGCAGCAAAAAGAAAAGGGAAATTTTGCAAAATATAGGTAACTTAAGGGACCTCTAAGATAACATTTACATTATAAGGGCCCAGAACATGGAGTAAGAAAGGACAGAAAATTTATTTGAAGAAATAATGGTTGAAAATTTCTCCAACCTAGGGATAGAGACAGATATCCAGATCCAAGAAGCCCAGAGAATTCTAAATAAGATTAACTCAGAGAAATCCACACTAAGACACATTATAATTAAAATGTCGAAAGGTAAAGAGAGAAACTTAAAAGCAGCAAGAGAAAAACAAATTGTTATATACGAGAAAAACGCCATAAGTCTATTAGCAGATTTCTCAGCAAAAACTTGCAACCAGAAGGGTGTAGCATGACTTATTCAAAGTACTGAAAGGAAAAAGCTTCCAGCCAAGAATACTCTACATGGCAAGGATATCATTTAGATGTGAAGGATGGAGAAAGAGTTTTCCAGACAAGCAAAAGCTAAAGGAGCTCGTCACTATTAAACCAGCCATGCTGTTGCATTTCTATACATTAACAATAAGACAGATGAAAGAGAAATTAAGGAATTGATCCCATTTACAATGCACCAAAAACCATAAGATACCTAGGAATAAACCTAACCAAAGAAGTAAAAGATCTGTACTCCAAAAACTACAGAACACTTATGAAAGAAATTGAGGAAGACACAAAGAAATGGAAAAACATTCCATGCTCATGGATTGGAAGAATAAACATTGTTAAAATGTCTATGCTACCTACAGCAATCTATACGTTCAGTGCAATCCTATCAAAATACCATCAACATTTTTCAGAGCTGGAACAAACCATCCTAAAATTTGTATGGAACCAGAAAAGACCCCAAATACCAGAGGAATGTTGAAAAAGAAAACCAAAGCTGGTGGCATCACGTTTCGGACTTCAGGCCCTATTACAAAGCTGTCATCAACAAGACAGTATGGTACCAGCACAAAAACAGACACATAGATCAATGGAACAGAATAGAGACCCCAGAAATGGACCTTCAACTCTATGGTCAACTAATCTTTGACAAAGCAGGAAAAAATATCCAATGAAAAAAGGATAGTCTCTTCAATAAGTGGTGCTGGGAAAATTGAAGCCACATGTAGAAGACCATTTTCTTATACAGTACACAAAGATAAACTCAAAATGGATGAAAGACCTAAATGTGAGACAGGAATTCATCAAAATCCTAGAGGAAAACACAGGCAGCAAACTCTTTGACCTCAGCCACAGCAATTTCTTGCTAGATACATCTCCAAAGGCAAGGGAAACAAAAGCAAAAATGAACTATTGGGACTTCATCAAGATAAAAAGCTTCTGAACAGCCAAGGAGACAGTCAACAAAACTAAAAGGTAACCTACAGAATGGGAGAAGATATTTGCAAATGACATATCAGATAAAGGGCTAGTATCCAAGATTTATAAAGAACTTATCAAACTCAACACCCAAAAAACAAATAATCCAGTCAAGAAATGGGCCGAAGACATGAACAGACACTTCTCCAAAGAAGACATACAAATGGCCAACAGACAAATGAAAAAGTGCTCAACATCACTAGGCATCAGGGAAATACAAAACCACAATGAGAAACCACCTCATACCAGTCAGAATGGCTAAAATTAACAAGACAGGAAACAGCAGATGTTGGCAAGGAAGCAGAGAAAGGGGAACCC